CTGCACGCGCAATTGATTGTGTTGCAAGTAGATTATATCTTCGGCATTGCGTCTCATGGTTTCGTAAGCGGCGAGACACATGAACGACAAAGGCGACCAACGCATCGTACAGCGCGTCTAGAAATTCGATATTGTCGGCACGCAAACTTCCCCCGGGGAATTTCAGATGTCATGATCCGAAATAAAAAAAAAAAATTTCTTGCCGACTCCAAGCTCACTCTAAAAAAAAAGTCTGTGCGTCTACTTTCACGCACAACACTCGGAGAGCAAATCAGCGCAACTTACGGAGGCAGCTCGGCGAATGACGATGCCGAAACATATGTTTAGACCAAAAAACGCAGTCTGAGTTGTGACATTAAGCAATGCAAAACGTCACGCTTGCATTGCTTAATGTCACAACTCAGTCTGCGTTTTTTGGTCAAAACAGATGTTTTGGCATTGTCATTCGCTGAGCTGCCTCCGTAAGTTGCGCTGATTGGCTCTCCGAGTGTTGTGCGTGAAAGTAGACGCACAGACGTCTTTTAGAGTGTTGGACAATCGGAGAGAAAGGTCTGCAATATCACAGACCGCCGCGATTGGCCAGAGGGGCACTGGCCAATCGCGGCGGTCGGCGACATCGCCGACTTTCTCGCCGAGTGTCCAACTTAGAGCTCCCGGGGCTCTAAGTTGGAAACGGTTAAACACAGGCTCTATGCTTCACACGGGCCGGAAATGTAAAGTCTGGGGCTCCAAGTTCCGGCGCGTCGTATGAGACGTCGGTCACCATATTTACGTACGACGGGTGGTACGACGCGTCGAAAACATGGCCAGATTACGGCCATCTCCGAGAAAAGTGACGACCAACTTCCATTCAACAAATATACTCGTGTAGCCAGGACTGGGTACAAACTTCGGCACCAATATTTATTGTCTAAACGAAACGAATATATTTTAATTTCGGTGTTCTTTTGAAAACCAATCGCTAAGTCGGTCAAAACAAACATCAAACCAGAAAGAAAACTCGTGCATATTGTACTTTAATTAAAATTAAAAAAATAATTATAAGATTTTTTTTTTTCATTTTCACAAATTCTTCGGGATTGATTTGTTCCTAAACACAGGTTGAAATCCTTGGGGTGATTGGTGACCGAGTATATTAATGCATGAAGCACACCGCAGCTCAGATTTGAATCCAGGATCCCTGGGAGATCCTGGGCTCAATTCCTACCTGTTTCGATCTGGATGAGCATCGTGCCGACGTGCTGTCATGTATTACTATACTGCGTGGTGCACGGTAAAGACCCCAGGCTAGCGGTTGAACTGGACTGGCCAAATTGCTCATCTACAGTGGGTAAGAATGTCGCCATGTTTTGACGAACTCCTGCTGTCTAAACGACTAGTCTGTTTTCTTTTTTTTTCTAGGTTCAAACCTTCCAAGGATCAGTTATCCCAATGCTTATAAACAATTAGTAATATCTCCTGACTTTTTAGACAAATTACCGAAGTATCGCAAAACGGGGTGCAAATAAATAATTTTTTTAATAAAAGAAGTCCGAGTTTTTTTGTTATTTATTTAATTTAGATTTATTTAATTTAACTAAGATTAATTTGATTTAAATTACCGTAGCTTGAAAAGAGAAAAGTAGTTTTCATCACTATATATTTTTTTCTAATCCCGACAGATTGATTGATTAGCCCGTTCGATCACTGAAAACAATACAGAAGCAAGGATTACTATACATTTAAACTTTTCAAACACAGGTTTAAATAACAAATCTTATTGATGTAAACTTGCCATACTAGAACAAAAACAGCTTGATTTTATGGCTGTATTTGCTTCTTTTTTTTCGCTTTGATTTTCTTGCAATGGGACATTACGCTTATTGTTTTGGTCTCTTTATTTCGCGTTTTGATTCGCTTGCAGTGGGTTATTACATAATTGACAAATGGTGAAGGACGCAGAAAGCTCAGCGCTATATTAGTTCGTGTTTAATCTGCACTAAATATTTTGTTCAATTTTTTTAAATATATTTACAAAACAAGCGCACGTTGGAAGCATCGTTTGAAAGATAGACAAACAGTAAATAAAGAAAAGTATTTTAGGGATTATATCTGCGGGAAAGCTTTCGTTAAAATTATCATAGCAAAATTGGTGTGATTTAATTCACGATTAATATCCTGATTTAAATACCGATTTAAATCATTTTGATTTTTATTCTCCACCCTGCCGTAAACCAGGAAAAATTATATTTAGATATTTATTACATGGCAATCTCTGATCGGCGGAAAGACCGGCAATGGTTTTTCCATAACTCTTCCAATTGCAATGTGATTGGATAAACGAGTAGGCCACCAGCAGCGAAACGTTGCAGTGTAAAATACCAAAGTAGGTAAACCACGGTCATGAGATATGAAGAACAAAGCAAGAACAAGGTAATTGCAACGAACATATAGACGTTCTTGCTTAGACAGCGTAAAGTTGGTCAGCCTTCAAGGTATGGCGGGCGAAACTGCAGTGGTTACCTCTGTAGATAAAAAAAATATATATATATTTGCCAGTGCAGTGCGACTGTTAGCCTCGGATATTTAACGTGTATTCCGCAGAAGTGACACACGATCACAAGCCGGTACAATATTCAATCAGACTGAAACGGGCAGGGATGGGCAATGAACCTAAGTGTTAATGAAGCAACAGTGTCATGCGGGGTGACAAAACGACAGTACCACTCAATGCGAATTAAAAGCGGGACGAAACAAAATCAATCCCACATGGTGGTGCCGCCATCTATCGAAAGAACAGTAAAGTGAACCTTAATAATCTAGGTTTCATCTTTGGTGATCCAGTAAAAGCTTCACGAACGCAAGGAGAAAAAAGACATAAGAAAGCGAATCGAGCAAACTAGACATAACGTTATCATCATAAAACACGGCCGAGTTCCTAATAACCGCGCAATCCCAGGCGAGAGCGCAATCTGGTGTCATTACGGGAAAGCGAACAAGACGAGAACGGCGTCTAGGGTCAACAGATGGCGCCGCCGTTCATCTAGACACATGGTGTTCGTATCAAAGGTGAATTGATTTTAAATCAATACTTATAGGCAGTCTGAGATTAGTGTGCCTTGTAAAGTGACCACTTGTGACTCCGCTGTGAGGGAGCTATTTGCTCAGTGCACTGCTAACGCGCATTTTCTAGGATGTTCACAACTAAAATCCCTCACAGGATAAAAACGGCAGGGAGGTGCTTCGGTTGTCCCGCCTCTTGTTCAAACTTTTTGCTTTCGATCATGCTTCAGCGTCTCGTGAGCTCCAAGCGTGAACGCGCAGCCAGAGCACTGTGAAAGGTAACGAGCTCGTGCTGGTGGCCGGGCATCCAAAAGAGACGTACTGCAATTCTTACCCTCTACGTGACTAGACAACATTTTACATCCTTATCGGTTTATTTTATTATATGTCATTTTAATTTTTGTGCGTTTGTTTACGCCATTCAATAGAAGTTCATAGAATATTTTCTAATGCCTTGTGGCCATTTTATTGGCCAAAGTTGATTCATAGGATTGCTTTGGTGAGGGCTGGACACTATTAACCAAATCAGTTTACACTCTAAGAGAGGCACGCATCGTTTTATTTTACTCTACAACACGGTAGTTTGGTGATACTATAGTTAAGCTTTGTCCTCACATTCGGGACTAAAGTAGCCTGCTGAAAACCTCAGACTCTCCGTCTGTGTTTCGCTAACCAACATACCCGTATTAGGTGAGACTTCATCGAGACTTATGGAGCTGCCGGGTTGAAGCATCCCAAAGTTCCATTGAGGGGCTTGTTTCTAAGCCTCTTAGTGAGACGTCATTTTAGGGTTTCAAATTGTAGCGATCTTACCGTGCTGCCAATGGTTCGCTTTCTAACTGAGGTGTCAGACGTCCTATTTCACCTAGAAATAGTCACCACACGCTTTAATCTTTTTTCCCGCCGACAACTTTAAAAAAAAAACAAAAAAAAAAAAAAAACGCTGAAGAGGTTGCTTTTCCGCATACCTATCTTTTTAGAGGAAAAGCACACCTACAATTCTGAAGGGGCTCGAGGCGACTATTTCGCCATCAGACAAGACAGATTCTGCCAAATGTCCAGAACTATTCAGTTGGTTCATTTGATTCAATCGCTCGAGATACCAATAGGTAACACCATAAAAGCCATTTAAAACTTTAAAAATTGAGCAATAATTTATTCAGCTATTTGGAGGACATGGGGTCAAAACAAGATGTAAGCGAAATAAAATTGACCAGCAAAGCTAAAAGATTGTATCGCTTATCGTGTAGCTGCATAAACAATAGTAGACGGTGCGTGCTTATTTGCCATTACAAAATGATATGAGGTGTTAACAAAAGTTGTTATTCTGTTTTTATTCTGGTACAACGAGGCACACAAACACAGCAGCGTGGTCTGCATTATTAGCGTCTGACGTCAATTTGAGGCAAGACATGGCCAAATTATAAAAGCAGTTTTTACGACTCACTCTTAAATTGTAGTAATTATGTATCATAAATTTTTAAACACGCTCAGAAATCACAAGGTCGGTCGCTTGGTGGGAACTTTCGAAACACAAGTTCGCGTTCTTATAGGGCTCAATCTTAAGGTGAAAAATCTAAGATTATACAATCCGAAAGAATTTTATCGTCAGAAACTAAAACGAAACACGCAACTAAAAAAAAAAGCGGCTCCTATGTCCCGATGGGCACACCTCAAAACCATCGGTGTTAACACGTTTCAATAGATGGCGGTAGCTTAGACCCACGCAGAAGTGTTCCTCACCACCGCCAGGGCGCTCACCGTTCATCCAAATCACGCTAGTTCCCAGCCCATCCACCAGATGCCGCCACTCGTTCCATCGCGCACCAGAAGACCAGCACTTCCCTCATCGTAGCTCATTTTCCATATTTTTATTCGCTTCGGTCCTTCCCATCCCCTCCCTCTCTTTGGGTTTTCAAAATCGATCAGACCGCGCTTTCACGGCCGGCTCACGAGATAGAAAGAAGCGGGGTACGAAAGGCAAGAAACGAGAGAAAGAGTGACAGAAAGAATGAAAAGAAAGAGACCTCCTCTCCCGTTGTTCCAGCACGCAACGCCGCTCCCATCTCCGAGCTCCGAGACGCGAGAGCAGCCGCAGCCTTCACCGGCTCCCAGACTCCAACCCCCGATTCGACCAGCGCGAGCTCCTTCCTTTCTTTCCTTTTTATCGTTTCTTAAAAAAATTTTTCCAATACAATTTGACGTGCCGTAAACTAAATTTGAAACTCCCAAGACACCCTCGAGAAACACCGAACATGGGAAATCCAAGAAACTTCCAAGATGCATCTACGGATCGCGTTTGAAGCGATATCGACGGAGACTCCGACATCGGTTCGGCGGCAACGCTGACAACGAACGAAGCAGGGAGTGGCTGTGCGAACGGCAAGTGGATCGGAAGCTATCTTGGAAAAGAAAGCAACAGGCGAAAGGAAAAAAAATAACAACAACAACACGCGAGCGGAACTCTCTTGTTTTTTTGCTCTGTTTGCTCGTTTCCGCGAATCCGGGAAACCCTTTCCCTCAGGCGGGAACATAGGGAGGATGCGTTCATCGATGACGGGACACAGAGACACACGAATGTCGGCGTCGCTCCGGTCGCCGCAGCTTCGCCTTCAGCACGGATGAAGCTCTTCAGCTAGGTGAGTTCCGACTTTGATAAGCATTGAATTTACTGTCATTTGAAAGGTTTAATACTAAACTAAAATACAAAAAATATAACTGCTGACGGGATGAGAATGACAAGGCGGGGTTCTTCCCTACCTTCGACAACGCTTGGGAGTGTCGTGAGCCTTGAGGGTGCAAGCGCAGTCAAAGCACGGTGGAAGGCAACTAGCGCGTTCTGCAGGATGGGCTCACAGTAACTGTAGCAAGTCTCAACGTTTACTGTTTGTCGTTAAACAGAAGGTTGGGGAGAACACAATGTTTAGACATGTTTGACGAGATATAAATCATCCTCCAATGACAGACCAGAACATCTTGTCGCCCCGAGACTTTCTAGATCTTTCTGTCCCACACTGTATGCATGACTGCAAAGCATTGGTTTGCCTCTTTGTGCGAGTGTTCGGTGGAGGTACTGAAAGGTAATTTTATTGTACTTACAGTGACTTGGGTTTCCGATGTAAATAGTAATGTGATTACAGTTACAATTAACTTGCAGTGAGTGACTGGATTACATTGCATGCAGAGCCAACAATACAGACACGCTTATCACCGGTTATGATCAGTTCTTTGTCATAATTAGGGTGACACAATAATAAAGCGAGCCAAATTAGCCGATGTCGGAAAAACGTTAGTGTTTATGCAGTGATGATTTAAAATGCCGTGTCTAAGTCGATACAAACTTTCTGTATTTGTTCTCGTATCCCGACAATGATTATCCCGCTTTTCGTAGTATCAATTTTAAATGAAGCCACTACTGGTATTTCGAAACCTTTTTATACTAAGTTTAGGTTACCAAAGATTATTTAGGCAGCATTGATGGTTCTTACGTTACATGTTACAGTCATTTAGAGTCACAGTGGAGAACGAAAATCAAAAGAATTTAAATCGTGATTCAAATCACGATTTAAATATTACCTTAAATCAGTCCAGTTTTACTATGATGATTTAAATCAAAACTTTCCCGCAAAAAAATAATTCCGGAATATGTTTTTTGTCATTTGGCTATTATTTTATGCTTTTCCGTGCATCTCTTTTATATTTAAGTCAAATATTTATCGAGCGAGAAAGATTTTTATCAGACTGAACTCAAGCAAAAAGCGGTTCTCTTCTGAGCCATTCAAAACGTCGAGCTTTCTTTCTACCTCCACTGTGTCCGTCAGTTAAGCAACGTCCAACTGCAAGCAAATCCGATGGCGAAATAGAAATCCACTAACATAAAGCGAAAGTGTGCTGGCTGCTGCTTACGAAACATCACAAACTAGGCCCCGTTATTTTAATTCTCCGTGTTTTGGGGTTTAAAAGTGGAAGCAAATAAAGCTTTTCTTTTTTTCATCTAACCTAAAAATGACGCAATTTTGCTCTAATGGCGGGGTTTACATCAATGTATTGGTGTTAATCAAAATGTACTTTTAATTTACACTAATTCTTTCTTCCGCATTGTGATCACTATCAGCGATCAGACAGATCGAACAGGTCGGTCAATCAATCTGACATGTTTAAAAATGCATTATAGTAATAAAGATTTACTACACTCTAAATAAAATGCCGATTTTTTTTTTTTTTTTTTTTTTTTTTGGCACAACTATTATTTGGTTACATGCGGCCGTGTCGGGGCCCGTTTACCCCGGAATAAAAAGGCCGGAAAAAAAAAAAAAATAAATAATGCGCATTTCCAGATTTCTTTTTTTTTACACAAATTTGCTTAGAACCCTGGGACGTCCTTGCTCGCGTCCTAGAGGGTGAAGAGACCTCCTTTTTCAACCTCAAGAACGCAAGCGAAGACGGCCTGAGTCGTCGCTTCTTCTCCATCAAAAAAAAAAAAAAATACTAGAAAAACGCAGAATATTTTTTATCCGACTTTTTTTATTCTGAGGAAGAAAGGCGCCAATACCGCCACTTGTAGCCGGAAAAAAGTTGATCCAAAATAGACGGCTTTTTACTTAGCGTGTATTATCTTGCGACAATTACTTAAATCAAATGAATCTGTTTTAAGTCTACTAAATATGATTCAAATCAAATATATCTTATTTATATGAGTTAAAAAAATCATGATATTTTTGTATCCTTTTAGAGCATTAATACAGCTTCTTCACCTTCGATGAGGAAAGGATACCTTGGTTGCGGAATGCAATTTTCTTTAATGCAGCAAGTTTTTGTCAAGGGTTTATGCTTCAAATATTTGTGTGTAATCAGCGCGTTCTACTAAAAATGCACTGCATGCTTAAAAAAGGCCTCCAGCCAAAATGTATATATTTTAGAAAATGTGTTGGTGTCCAAAACAGTTCATATTGTTTTCTAGAGTACAAATTATACAATTTTAAATAAGATTAGAGTTGATAAGCTTTATCCTAATCTCCTTCGTGACGACGGAGCTGTCTGTTTTTAAATGAGTCTAGCTAAAAGTTCTTATAAATTACACCACACCCCTTCTCGATAGATTTAAAAACTACTGCCAGATTGGTGTAAAATACAACGTAAAACTCTCAGCACTCGAAAAACAAAAACTGCCCCCCCAGGCAAACATTTATGATTTTCAAAATTCGCGTTTTATCAACCCAGCATTTTGACATCTTCTAGCTAGAAGCGTCGTGTTATTTTTGGATAGAGATTTCCTATGCGTTTTACGTTCAATAAAATTTTGCATGTTTTTTTTTTTATTGTTCCTTTTTACATGTCCGACAGCTGCAAACCACGTCCGCTAGAAACAACGTCCGACCCCCAAATTTCATCGCAGTGGGATCGGCAAACAGACAGGATTGACTGCTGCTGCCGCCTGTGAGTACGAAAAAACAATACAGTATATACAACTCTTTGTTTTCCTTATATCGAAAAAAAAAAAACTTTTAGCTTTTCCACTTTGGAGAAGAAGGAAGACCAGCGAAGCTGTACTATGGTGGGAATGAAGTAATGGCCGGCCGCAAGTCGGCAAGCCAGAGTGGAAAGGCTCGAGAAAGGTTGCGCCACCTATGAGCGACGACGGCTAGCGGACAACCGGCAAACACAACACTTTGGACAGCTACCGCCATCTATGAGCGGCGGCGGCAACCAGAGTTTTGTGTCGACATTTCTTTGCGGGGTACACGATCCTGGGGAAGCTAGCCCTTAACAGCTCCGCTGGAAAAATGACCAGGCTTAGATATTACGTCAAATGCAATGAGGATACGCTAGCACTTTATGGGAATTTCAAGGAGCAGAACCTGCTATCGGAATGACAAACGCGACACATGGCGAATGTGTTGTGAATATATGAGAGATTTACCTTCTTCTTCGCCCGTGCACCTCTTCTATAGGGGCACTGCATCGTAAAATGCCACACAGCTCGGAGAACCTGGAGCGAAAGCTCGCGCTGCAGAACCCAGGGGTTCTGGGTTCGATCCCCATCCCTGCCCGTTTCGGTCTGGATGAGCATCGTACCGGCGTTCAATCCCGTACCGCTAGAGAGTAGACAGTTTTAGGGGACCGTTTTTGCAGATTCGGTACGGCACGGTGGGCCCACCGGTACGACCTGCGCATGCGCTACAACAGAAGGCTCACACATGCGCGGTTCGTACCGGAGGACCCATCGTACCGTATACGATGTGAAAAAACGGTTCCCTAAAACTGCTTATAGTTTTAGTAGATCGTTCCGATACCTCCGATAACGACGCCCTATCACAATATGACGCATGCGCAAAGGTGGCGGCGGAGTATCGGGTATCGTTATCGGAGTCAACGGAACGATCTACTAAAACTCTTTGTCACAGCGCGGGCCGCGTTAAAGATCCCAGGCTAGCAGTCCTATTTCCCCGAATATAATTCTCATCTACAGTGGGCAACAATGTCGCCACACTTTGGCATACTGAACACCTGTTGTCTAAAGGGAATAGCTTTTTGTCCCTGAAATTCAGTTCTCGCACTTATCCCTGGCAGAAGTAAACGTTAACCGGGTTTATATTGAAAAAAGAAATTCCGAGGACACTTAAGCACTTCTTATGAGTTGTGAATGCGAAAGCATGAATGTCGTTCTTCCGCTCCCTTAGTTCGTCTGCAGTGTACCGGCGTGGATGGCCACGTTTCGCTTCTGCCAAAGCTGCGGCCGCCGACGATATAGATGCCTCAGGCGCCGCCATGTTCCTCGGCGCCGAGAAGAGCAGAAGCGGCCGCAGGCTGCCACCCCACTCCGGCAACGCCTGACACGTGAAACGGCCGCTAATGGCTATCTAGGAGCTGTTTTGCACAGCCAATGGGAGAATGGGCTTTTCTTTCGCGCTTTCCTTTTCTTTTTTTTTTTTTTTTTGGGGGGGGGGGGGGGGGGATACAGACGCTGCCGGCTCCACTCCATGGGATAGTTAATGCTTTCGCATCAAAATACGTGCAGCGATTGCCACCGGGCATGCGGCAATCCTCTCTGTCACCTGTTATCTGTCCAGGGCGTCGTGACGCCATTGACATCATCCCCGACGCAGCCTAGTGGCGAGCAAGGCTCACCTGACCCCGCTGATGACGTCACTTATGCCAGTGTTTCTCTCCACTCTCGCGTTTCCTTACCCTCGGCGCACCGTAAAGGGTGGGTCTACGTCAAAATTTCAAGTGCCTATTATGACGCTCCAACTAATATGATTGAAATAAAACTTACCACACATAATTTTTAATTTTTAAGGCGTCTACATTACAACGTTTAATGTTCCTTTGAATGCAATCAATTCTTCACCTTCCAAGCGACTAACGATTAATTATATTTATTAAATGCTGCCGCGCATACAATCTCACCGTGAAATCCACTCCGCTCCTACTATATTATTCTACTAATACGCGGTTCCTACCTCACTACGCAGGAGGAGGGGAAAGGGGGGAGAGCATTAGCGCACCGCTTACCTCTTCACACCCTACTACCAGCTGCGCTACGCCAATGGTCGCGCGCACTATGACGTCACACCGACGACTACGCTCTGTTGCTGACACTATTTCCAATGGCCTTGATGCGATGTGCCCAACACCAACACGAGCAAGCAGGGTACAGTGCGGGGTTCCCGCATTAAACGAATAATCGATAAAAACCTGCAAAGCACACAAAAAAAAAATGTCCGCCACAAGTATTTTGTTTACGTAAAAACTAACATGAACCCATGTTCATGCATAATCATCATGGCCGCCGTGAAGACCGGAAAACTGAAATAAAAACGACGGAGTCGAATGATGACTCCAAGTCTAGGAGTAGGAGAGCAAGTCTAATTATGTCCGAAGTTTCCGGTCCAGTTACCTAAACTGTATCGCTGCCTATTCTAGTTGCGATTGAAAATATGTTTATACAATGTAGAACCAAAATGAAACACAGCTTAAAAATTGTATCACGGCACATAAACTTTCTTCTTTTTTTTCGCAGAGCGGGGTTGATTTTTTTTTCTTCAGACGTTCTAGGTTGTTGTTGTTTTTTGTGTTTTTTACCAGATATGGCAAGTCAGAACAATAGGTACTATCGCGGACAATGTGAGTTGGGAAAGCCCTTCAAGCTTCTTTGACGTACCTGCAGGTTTATGAGATAGCTGCAGTTCCAACTAGAAATGGAATACGTTGTTGGTCGAGGTCCTGTACTTTAATCTATTTGAAAAAATTGAGAGATAATAAAGCCGAACCGCAGACGCGGAAAAAGGCCAGATCGAATGTCTTAGCTCATACAGTCCGCAAAAATGCGTTCTGTGCACGTAAAAAAGAGGAGCGTTTCATGCCTTATAAATACAAAAATCCAGCTTTTTTTTGTTCGGTTTTTATCAGATGTCTTTTTTTTTTTTTCGTAGTCTCGTAGCGTACGAAAATCCGGAACTATCCTGGTTAAAAAAAGAAAAGAAGGCTTTTTTTTTTTACTTTTTTGGGAAGAAATCCTTGTTTCTGTTTTCGAGATTCCGGACATTTTGATCCCCCGGGCAACCATTCATCGCGAGAAACAGCTGAAAATAAGCATCCGCTACAACAAACAGAAAAACCAGCAACAGCGAAGAACTCAGTTCAATACTCGGCTGGATTAAAGGTACATCGATCGGTGCCTTTCACAGGCTTCCGGTGTCCCACAGCCGCTGCATATTCTAAACCGTCCTGTCATCAGAACTATAATTTGGTGGCTCTTCCGACGTCCGGCAAACGTTGTCATCCATAAAGGACGTGAGAGCAAGACAGGTGGTGGTCAAAACGGTTGGGGCGTTATTTCCCGGCATCGTCCTTTCTTCTCTTTCGTGGTGCAGGCGCTTTTCGTTGTTTTCTCGAGTTCCCCCAACTCTTCTTTCTATTGGCGACGAGCTCGACTAAAAGTGTCGCTGTTGTCAGGCTTCTACGATTGGTCAAACGCTCACTTTGACGTCCTGAGTATTATAAATTCTACGCTCATTAATCGAAATATAAAAGGAATGTCAGGTTGTCAATTTTTTTTTGACCGTGTTTTTCTAAGCATTATACGCACGAGGGAAGGAATCTACTGAGGGATGTGCGTAACGTCGAAAGCGGGCGCAATTCCCGCCTCACCCTCTTCGTTCACACCGAGGAGGTGCCAGGAAAGGGGGGGGGGGGGGGGGGGGGGGGGGGGAGTATGTTATCGTTTCAAGTTCAATTTAGCTCTTTTTACCATTGACACCACCTCACACGACGAAGTGACTAACCTCTGCACTTGTCATCCAAGCGGTAAACGACAAATATATAATTCAAATCTCTTCCGCCACCAAACCGGGATTGTTTGTACCACGCGAGAATTCCTCCGTCTCTACGCCGCGGAGCCGACGTCACAGCTTCGCATCGCAAGAACTTGACGTTTTCTTCGCGTGATGTACGTGTTAGGGAGAAATCGCACGTGAAAACCGCTTAAAGGACGGGACGACTACAGGATTCCACCGTGAATGTTTACGCACAGCATTGAAACTGCCGCTGGTAATCCACAATCTTGGTCGTGACTTCACAGGCAGGAACCATAGGGGGTACCAATGTAACGTTGGGTTTATTTTTCCTGGCGGCCATAGCGGAGGGTGTAGCCTCGTCGTTTCTGCTACATCAACGTACCCTACGTCGACGCTGCCCCTTTTTGCGCCCCCATCCCCCACCCCTCCAGTAGCCGCCATTGCGAGATACGGACGTGTTCGCCCTCTGTGGACGCACTCCCTCGCCTCCCCAACTGCCGCCGCCCGGGTTCTTTCTTCGTGTGCTCTCCGCACCTATACAGAACACCTCGCGAACGTCCCTTCGGTGCGAGCCAGACATACTATAACTAGGCTACGCAAGCCTTTTTTTTTTTTTTTTCTTTTCTTCATTCGATCAGACCACGCAAGGCACTTTTGCATGGCGAATAAGAAGACGATACGGACGGGGCCCGATAACGCTATCGCGTTCCACTCTTAAGAGCAAAACTTTAGCGTCCTCCAAGTTTTTTTTCCTGATGTTAGAGTTTTGAGTTTTAACGGCACGAATGGCGGTCACAGCCACCGTTATTCAGTTTTCTCAGTTGTGGAAGTTCTGCGGAGGGGGATAACCACCTCTCAGTCCCTTCAGTTCGCCTCCCGTCGTTTGAAGCGCCATCGAGATTTTCGCTTTAAATCTGTGTGTTCCATGGAGTACGGTGAAACGCCATGTAGACGCTGTGCTTCGAGATATCCGTATTGCATAGAATGCACTGCAGTTACCATAGTGGCCGCCCCCCAAAACGGTGGGCGTGGAACGACGAATGTCGAGCCGTGGGGGAGAGGTGGGTTGCGCTCGTGTAAGCGGCATCTATGGGCGGTTCCGTAACTGAGCTACGCTCTAAAAAAAGTCGTGCGTCT